AGTCTATATTATATATATATATATCAGATCATATAAAATAGACCTACATTTTTGTGTTTATAATTACTATAACAGCCTACTATAACGCCGCTTTTGGTCCGCCCTTAAATGCCTCTAATTTAAGGGCTCTATTTTGTAAAAGTAAGTCCACATCAGCAAAGAGATTAAAATCATGATTAATTCTGAACATAAAATGATACCGTAACAAAGTATTAAAAACTAAAGAGTATAATAGCGCATAAAAACATAACAAAAAAACAATAGGCCTGTTGTCATCAGCACCTATTGGCAGATTCACAGCAGTTAATAATTCCTCCAATTTTCTCTATCATATGATTAACTTTTCATTTGTTTCTTTCAAGTCATTTACTCTCTTCGTCGAGGCTCCTTTCCTTCTATTCTTCCTTCAGTTATATCTCTCTAAAGACCATCATTGGGACAAAAGGAAAGCAAAGACTGTATTAGAAAACTTCCGCTTAATGTAGACACCATCATTATCTTGTTTTATTAAGTAATAAAAATACAGAGCGTTTTAACTTACTGCCTAATCTGTACATATAACAGCCTAACAAAACAAAAGACATTAGACTCAATCTGAAAGTCTGAAGAAGATATTGTATATATTATTTAGATGATATTTATGACAAATGCGCATTAGCTAATAAACTTCAGAAAATAATGAACGACACAACTCATGCATCCACTACATCATAATGATTTTACTCTCTGGTTTCCGCCTAAACCATTCACAAAACGTTGCCTTATAGAAACTCCTTCGTTCCCAACTCCATTCACCTTCATAATAATAATGTTAATTGATAATTGTTGTTAAAGTGAAATTGTGGGCCCAATTTAATTATGTGCAATATAATTGTTTGTATACGCCTATGGTACTCTTTATCTTATGAATAGATATTGTTTGGTGCTCATAGTTTTAATTTCTATATCCTTGGTTATCTTTTATTTATTACTGTACATGTTCTTATGGAATGTAATTTCTGACTTTTTCAGACAATTGAATTACCTTGAATAGGCCTTTGAATCTCTCAGTGTATCCGATTTCTTCTTTCTGTCTTTTCATTAAAAAAAAGTACAGTAGGCCTTATTTGTTCTTAATATTGTGTAACTTGTAACCTTTGAAAAGATGATTTTTATATTATATATTGCATATTAAATGTGGTGATAAAGATACTAAACAAATTCAATCGATTAATCGATCGATCGATCAAAGATAAATAAAATATTGACAGCGCATGTCAAAGGTAACTTTTCATCGATCTGATTGGCTGATGTGTGATGTTTTGCTTCGTGTCCGATCGCCTTTCTCTATGCTGTTGTTGTTTGAGTACTTCCCGATCAGACAGACTGCTGGTGTGGCTTCTCTGGTGTTTTAATGTACTTGATGTAGGCCCTACACTTTGTTTATATAAATTAGGTAAGTACACTCAAACAAAAACCTTTTAATATCTATTACCCTATATTGTCTAATCAGTTTGCGTACTTTGATATAATATATGTGTGCCTGTGTTGTGTCACATCATCATGTCATGGCATGCATACACAATAATATAGGCCTAGGTAGGCTAGACTAAATATGTCATAGGCTGGCAGGCTTAAGCCTATTCTTACTATATATAGTACTAATAATAGGCCTTTCTTTACTTTATTTAGTCACGCCTCTGTGGCTGGGGTTAGGTTAGTAATATTATGGTGGCTCTGTCTAATGACAGTGTCACCGGTCAGGCCATGCGAATAGCTGTACTCAAACACTCAATTGTCATGTGTAACGTTCAGGAAATTGTAGGCCTATGCATAGAATAGGCCAAGAAATCAGGATCTAGGCTAGGCCTATGCCTTCTATGGCTAGGGCCTAGACCTCAACTGCAGGCAGGATTTCTAAGGGGATTTTAATTTTTCATAAAAGGGCACTTGGTTGGAGTCCTGTGGAGCTCACTTGTATACCAACCTTAGGGGTTGGGGGGGGGGGGGGGG